CCCCCCCCGGGGGGGGGGGGGGGGGGCCACTGGTAGTGATGTAATCACCCGAATGCCGCCAAGAGGCGGCGGACGGGTAAGAAGATGTGGGGGGTGGCGGGTTGGAACACGAGGCGGTAGAAATTCGGGCACGAGTGGGCGAGGAACTGGCGAGCTAACCGGTCACGTTTCTCCGCGCGCGTGGAAAAATGGGAACGCCCAGCTTTTCTCGCGAGCGAGCTTCAGGGTAGGTGGGGACCTTTTCAAAAGTAAATGGAGGGAAGGGGGGGAAGGGAGGGGGGAGGGGAGGGAAAGGGAGGGTAGGATTCCTAGGCCAAGCTGCAGGCACCACCCCCGAAAAGGCTGACAAACACCCCGGAACAGGGGCCAAAGGGGGGTGGAGGGGGGGGGTAGGGCGAGCTCTTCCTCGAGAATCGAATCTTCTCGGCCGGGAGGGCCAGCTCCTGGGCCGGGACGGCCATCTTCTCGGTCGTCATCTGAGCCCGCAGAGCTGGGATCAGGCCAGACATTGGAAATGGGGGGGGGGGGGGGGTAGGGCGGAGATAGCAAGCGACTGCGCGGCAAGGCTACAAGATCACACCTTGAACGCCGGCTCCATCTTTTCAGCCGCGACGAACGACTCCTTGAGCGCTGGCGCCGGGGCCAGCGCGTGCGTGGCCAGGGTGCCCACGCATGCCCCGCCTGCAATTACTAATTGTGTAAGGGGCATGCGGTGGGAATAGGGCCGAATGGATGGCGCTTGTGCGCACCAAAAGCGGCGGTGACGACGAGGAGCGTCTTCATGGCGCCGCTCTGGTTCGTATCCATATGGCTGCCTGCGGCAATGCGCTCTAGACATCTGAGCAGGGCACGCAGAACGGGCCCGGACAGCACAAGGCACACCCCGCGCGCGCAGGCGCGAGCAGGCGCGCGCGCGACAGGCGCGAGCAGGCGCGCACGAGAGAGAGAGCAGGGCGCGCGAGAGAGAGCAGGCGCGCGCGAGAGCGGGCGCACCCGATGTTCGGCGATGTCGGTGATTCGGCGATTTCGATTTCGGCGATTTCCGGAACAAAGAAGAGAGCGCCTAATCGGACGTGTCTTTCCCTCCGCTGGAGAGAGGTCCATCAGTTCCCGTTCCCCAGGACTTCCTCTCCAGCTGCCTTCGTGGATCATAGCAAGACCATGAGGCCATGAGATTGCTCATGCTACAAGATGACTCGTTCCAGCTGGATCCGGGCGCTACAGCGCAGTACCCTCCTTCCAGGGCCTCAGATCGCACGCGGCTCCTCCCATCACCCGGCTCCAGGATCGAGGTGCACGCCGCCGAGGGACCCCGGAGAGGGTGTAGATCGGGCGGTGTCGTCGTCCCCCCTCTCCCATCATCACCTGATTTGCTAGACAGGGCTCGGAGCCCTTTGCTGTGAGCAGGGATTCCCTCCCGGCGGGGGTTGTGGCGGAGAGCCGGCATGTGGGAACCGCCCGCCCCCACCCAGGGGGTGCGGCCCCTGCCAGGCGCCGCAAGCGGTGCCCGACAGGGGCGGGTGCACCCCCACCCCGAGGGGCGGTGCGGGGTCGGGGTCCAAAGGGAGAGGGTTGTGTTCTCTAGGCCCCTAAGGGCCCTACGCGCGGCGTGCGAGCTCGGAAGCTCTGTCTCTCGGTGTGAAGGTATTTTCTTGTCAATAACAAGGTCTGTGTCTTCTCAATAACCAGTGTCGTGCCAGGGAGTTTTGTTCTCACATAATAACAAGGCTGTGAAATGCTCCCGTGAAAATCATTTTGTGCGCGGACTTGTGGCCGCCAAGACCTCGCTGTGCTGACTCTCACTAGCACCCTCTTGGGGCCTCTCCTGACCGCTGTGGGCCTCTCCAGACCTCCTCTTGCCTATGGGAGTACCCCATAAACACATGGCGGCTGCCCAGCCTACGGGCACAGACTCCGAGGTTGTCCTGCTGTACCGCCGGCCCGAGGCCAGCACCAACCTTGTGCAGATCTCGGGCCTCTCCGCCAACACGTCCTCGCACAGAGTCGAGGCGCTCGCGGCGCAGTGTGGGCCGGTGAGCAGCGCGTTCATGCACCAGGCGGACGGACGCAGGTGGGCCAACGTGCAGTTCTACAGCCGGCTCGACTGCGACGCGTGCCTGCGCACGCTGCACGGCTGCGTGCTCGACCACTGCCGACTTGAGGTGCGGAGGCACGAGCTGGCGAACGCGTCCGCTGCGGCGGCGCCGACGCCGGCGCTGCACGCCGTCCGGCTGATGAACCACTTTGTGGGCTTCGCCGGCTGGTCGAGCTCCATCCTCCGCGTCGAGAAGGAGTACCTGCGGCCGGACGGCGCCGGCTGGGCCGCGGCGTATGCGGCGAGCGTGGAGGTGCGGATCTAGGCGAGATGGCGGCCACGAGGAGGCGTCCCGTGGCTCTCGCGAGATCTATCCGAGATATGGCCGCGCCGTATACGGGCACGAGGACGCGCCCCGCCCCCGTCGGCACCCTCCCTCTCCTTTCGGGAGCTCCCCTCGCCTACAGGGCCCTCGGAGCCTTCCCAGGTGCAGTGCGGCGGCGCGCGCGTCGCGGGAGAGTGTCTGGCGACCCGAAGACAGGAGGCGGCGACCGAGGCGCTGCGCAGCGCGTCGCGCGCGGCCCACCTCGGCGCCCTGCGAGCCGCCCTCGCGCAGATCGCCATCGTGCGCGTGCGCGGCCAGACCGTCGTCGAGGTCATCGAAGACCCGAGGCGAGATCTAGCCGAGATCTAGCCGAGGGTCACGCGAGATCTGCG